GTTTGAAGTGATCGCCCTTATGACGATGCGTAAATTGAAGTAAGTTAAATTCATCATAATCATAGGCGTAGATCCCGGGGGGGAGGGGATGGGGATATATCCCCAATATTCGACAAGGGAGGATGGTCCATTGTATCATCCCCCCCCCAATATTTTGACTATGTATGGGATAAAATGGAGCTTTACACACTTCAAAAGACCCACAAAAATAATTTGCACTGTCTTATGCGCTTACAAAGATGAAAATTAGCATAATGTATTAAAGTTGATAACAAAATTATTTTATCTGGTACCAATCTAATCTCTTCTTTCCTTAAATGTTAGATGTGCCTGCAAAGAGAGCCACATTTAACACTGATATTCAGGGGCCCTCTTTAATAAAATAACAGTACAAACAACATCATTACAACATAATAATAATAATAATAATAATAATAATAATAATAATAATAATAACATACAATCCTCATTTCCCAGTTAGTAATTTACCATACCAACCCCACCCCACTCCCCATATAGAAAACAATACGACATAGGGCTTATCTTATTTAAAATATAGGCCACACACGTGTGTTTGAAACTGAATATTTCACCATGGTTTTATTTATTACAAACCTATTCTTTCACCATCTATACACATTGAGGCCCTTCTTTTAGGTTAAAATGATCTAGCTTAACTTTGTCGTTCTTGAGTTTGGGACTATTATGTGTTTAAATAACTTAAAAGGATAAAACTAAAAAAGCCCTAAAAAAATATTTTTGTGTTTTTAATTCTAATTTCGTCGGAATTGATGAAAACTCCCTAAAATGTGCAATTTATAGAGGAAATTGGCCTACCTCAACAAGAAATGCGCGCAAAGAATTTGAGAATTTTAGGCACTTTCAGAGGATGCATTTTTCAAGGGGTGGGGAAATATTTTCCAAAGATGGATATTTTCCCCTTCCCTGGTGTTTTTGATTCTAATTTCGTTGGAATTGATCAAAACTCCCTAAATGTGCAATTTTTTGAGGGAATTGGGCCATGTTAACAAGAAATGCGCGCGAAATTTGAGGTTTTTAGGCACTTTCAGGGGATGAAAGGGCATTTATAAAGGGGTGGGGATGATTTTTCAAAGATAGATATTTTCCCCTTGTCCCCCAAGTGGTTACGCCATCGGCAGCATAGATCAAAGGAGTTATGACAGT